GCCAGAAAACAATTCTTTTTACAATAGAATCAAAACAATATTTGGGAACAAATTTAACCAAAGAGCATAAAAATGTGTACATGGAAATGGCAAACATTGCTGGAAAAAATTAAAGACCTTTATTTATTGGAAAGACATCTCAAGGTCATGAATTGGAAGGCAATAGAGTTAAGATGACAATACCACCTAAAGTGACCTACAGGTTCAATGTAATCCTTAACAAAACCCATGATATAATAAGAAATATATATTTGGTCCCTGCCCCAGCTTTCTGACTTAGAGCACCTGAAATCTGTGTAGATGAGGTGCTAGAATCTTTTGTTCTAATATTTGATCTTTGACCCCAGCTCCTGACATAGCGCTAATTTTCTAGATAATAGGAGCATCTTTTGTTCAAATGAGATTACTCTTAGTGGGCTCTGGGATAGCTTCAAGATGAAGGCTGGTTGCCAGAGGAACCAACCATATGGTAAGAGTGGGGGAGAGGGGCTTAAGTTTGAGTTGATCGTTAATGGCAATTATGTAATCAATCTTGCCTACCTAATGAAGCCTCCACAAAAATTCAAAAGGACAGGGTTTAGAGAGCTTCCAGATTGCTGAGGTGTCTAGAGAGTAGTGCACCTTAGAGGGGGCTTTGATACCCTTCCCACATACATCTGACTGACCATTTGTGTCCTTTGTAAGTGTAAATAAAATATTTCCCTGAGTTCTGTGAGCTACCCTAATGTAGTGACTGATTGAATCCAAGGAAAGAATTATGGGAACCCCTATTGATAGCCAGTTTATCAGAAGCACAGGTCACAACTTGGGTCTCGTGACTGGCATTTGAATTGGAGGCAGTCCAACTGGACTGGGCCCTTGTGAGACCTGACACTGTCTTCAGGAAGATAAAGTCAGAACCGATTTGAATTATAAGACATAAGTGGGTATCAGCTGGAGGCAACTAACATTATCAGTTTCTTGTCTTTACTTTCAAAGCTATCCTGTATATACAAAGCCAAACATGTATGTGTTATGTCTGTAAATATTTATTTCCTCTCTCCCTCATTTTTACACAAATAATAGCACATCGATACCGACTATTCTTTTGCTTTTTTTCACTTAACCATGTCTTGATAGGTTCAGATCCCTAAAAATAACAACTTCCAACACATTTTTTCCATGTAAAAATTTTTATTTTTAGAGATGGGGTCTCTGTTTTGCCTAGGCTGGAGTGCAGAGACTATTCACAGGCATTATTCCACTATCGATCATGAGAGTTTTGACCCGCTCCATTTTCAACCTGGGCTGATTCATCCCACCTTAGGCAGCCTGGTGGTTCCCCACTCCCAGGAGGTCACCATATTGATGCTAAGCTTAGTGCTAGAGTGGATACCCGATATCTACATAACATACTACAGTTTAGAACTCCAGGGCTCAGCCGGGCTCGGTGGTTCAGCCTGTAATCCCGCGCTTTGGGTGGCTGAGGTGAGTGGATAGCCTGAGCCCCAGGTTCGAGACCCGCCTGGGCAACTTGGTGAGACCTTATTTCTACAATAAATCAAAAAATTAGCGCGCACCTGTAGTTCCAGCCACTTGGAAGGATGAGGCGGAAGGATCGCCGGACCCCAGCAGGTCCAGGCTGCGGTGGCCGGGAGCAGCCATTGCACTCCAGTCTGGGGGACAGAATGAGACTCCAACTCAAAAAAAAAAAACACCCAGGGCTTAAGCAATCCTCCTTGTCACCTCCCCACGTCCCTCCACCTCCACAACCCCCAGTCTCCTGAGTAGCTGGGACTACCACATATGGTTTGTGTTAAGGATTAAAATGAAGAGACTACCTGAGTGAACCAGATAATCACGAGGTCCTTATAAGAGAGAGGCAGGATATTAGAGTCGGAGGAGATGTGATAATGGAAGAGATCAGAGAGGAGTGATTGATTATTGGCTTGGAACATGAAGGGGCTTCAAACCAAGAAATGCAGAAGCCTCCAAAAACTAGAAAAGGCAAGGAAATGGATTATTGCCTAGGGCATCTAGAAGGAACACAATTCTGCCAACACCTTGATTTTAGCCCACTGAAACCTATTTAAGAATTCTGAAATTAGCCGACCGTGGTAGCGCGCGCCTGTAGTTCCAGCTACTTGGAAGGCTGAGGCAGAAGGATCGCCGGAGCCCAGCAGGTCGAGGCTGCGGTGGCTGGGAGCGGCCACTGCACTCCAGTCTGGGGGACAGAGTGAGACTTCAACTCAAAAAAAACCCAAAAAACAAGAATTCTGACTTCCAGACTTGTAAGACAATAAATTTTTGTTGTTTCAACCACTAAGTTTGTAATAATGTTACAGCAGCAATAGTAAACCAATACACTGATAACTATTACATTTGTACAAGTACTTTCTGATCATCATAGTCTCATATGTTTTAATATATACCAATTTAAGACCCCAGCCTGGGTAACATGGCAAGACCTTGTTTCTACAATAAATAAACAAATTAGCTGGATGTGATGACATGTGCCTGTTGGTTGCAGCTACTTGGGAGGCTGAGGTGGAAGGATCACCTGAGTCTAGCAGGTCGGGGCAGCAGTGGTGGTGAGCATTACACTGCACTCCAGCCTGGGAAAGAGTGAGACTCCAATTTAAAAAAAAAAACCTTTTTAAAATTAAAAATTATATGTGTGTGTGTGTCAGTTTAGGTCCTTTTATTTCAGGATTCTTGTAGTTCTTGCTTTTTATTTTACCATACATAGGTGAGAACTAGCTTGCTCAGTTTCCACAAAAATCTTGTTGGCATTTTTACTGAGATCAAGTTATATCAAGTTTAAAGATCAACTAATGGAGAACTGATATCTTTATGATGTTGAGTCTTCCAATACAAGTAGATAGCATACTTTTCTGTTTTGTGTCCTTCTGTAACATTTTCATTTCCTTCATATAAGATGCATGATTTTAAACTGGGCTCGGTGGCTCAGCCTGTAATCCCACACCTTTGGGAAGCTGAGATGAGTGAATTGCCTGAGCCCGCGGGTTCAAGACCCGCCTGGGCAAATTGGTGAGACATCATCTATATAAAAAAAAAAAAAAAAAATGTATGATTTTCCTAAGTCTATTCTTAGGCATTTTATAGTTTTGTTACTGTTTGAAAATTAACATCATAAAGTCAAAACAAGTTCATACCAAAAATTCAAACTGATTCAAAAAAATAGATGAAGGCAAAGTCATCCAAAATCTTACTAGTAAGCATCCTTCCACATACTAGATCCTCACAGCCATGAAGGGCAATGACTGTTTAGTATGCAACCATTGGTGATTGCCACATCAGTGTTTTGCAGTCTTCACTCTCACTCTCCTGAAATCTGTCCAGTGCTACACAACAGTGGTGTGAGGTGCTGAGACTGGAAAGTTACGTTTACTTCTGGTTATTAAAAACCTAAGATCCCGTGAGGAGCTTTTGTCTTTATTCTTTAGGTAAAGGGAAAAATCACTGAAAGTGTTTAAGATGACGAGTCATATGGTTAGATCTATTTTTCTCCCACAGTTACTACTTTATATTTGTGGCATGTTTTAAAGTTTACAAAGTTTTTAAAAAAATCCTCACACTATTACTTTGTGTCATTGAAGGATAGATTTCAGGAGAGTGAGAGTGAAGACAGCAAAAAACCGTTGTGGCAAACACTGATGGCTGCCGACTCAACATTCATTGCCTTTTGCCTTTTATGGATACGAGAGCCTAGTATTGTTGAGTGTTTTAACGTTTACAAGGTTTTTAAAAAAACCCTCGACTGAGCGTAGTGGCTCACATCTGTAATCCCAGCACTTTGGGAGGCCGAGAGAATTGCCTGAGCTCAGGGGTTCGAGACCAGCCTGAGCAACATGGCGAGACCTCGTCTCTACAAAAAAATCAACAAATCATCCGGGTCTGGTGGCGTACGCCTGTGGTTTCAGCTACTTGGAAGGCTAAGGCGGAAGGATCGCCTGAGCCCAAAGGCGAAGGCTGCGGTGGCCGTGAGCGTGCCACTGCACTTCAACCTGAGCGACAGAGTTGCTCCGACTCAAAAACAAAACAAAAACAAAAACACAAAAAAACGGAATCGCGGGTCAAACTTTCTGGTAAACCACGATAAGGATCACTTTATCAAATTCAATGCCTCCTTCCTGTGGGGTCCTGCAAATCTTCAGCAAAACACCACAGACTGGCGAACACTTCAGCCGTTTTTCTCCCCTTTCGCTAGTTCCACTTCCCAGTTCTATCCATCTTCTCGAGTTTCCTCAGCGTCTCCACCACCACGGGATCTGGAAAACACCTGGCGCCAGAAAGTTGGGTCGGAAATTCAGATCGACCCTAAATGCCAAAAGTCCACAATCAGACACCGCAGAAGCAAACCGAGAACACATCCAAAGAGCCGCGTTATTTCCCAGAGGGGCTGAAAGCCGGAAGCAAGGCTCCCGCCGGCTGTGCCTACTGGGAGATGTAGTCCCGGGCCGACCCCACTGCCTCTTGGGAGTTGTAGTCCTCGGTCTGGTAAAGAAAAGACTCCAACTCGGACAGGGTTTTTTGTTTTTTTTCTTTTTCTTTTTCTTTGAGACCGGTCTCTCCATTTCCCAGGCGGGGCTCAAGCGACCCTCTCGCCTCAGCCTCCCGAGTAGCTGGGATTACAGGCGCTGCCACCACGCTAGCTGAAAGTATGAATAAATCCTTAGGTGAAAAGAGAAGACAGCAAGCCACGACAGGCAGCAGTCCGGAATTCCTCGGGCATCGCGGGAGCACTGGCGGAAACGGCTGGGAGGCGGGCCCGAGGAGGGCGGGGAGACGTTACGCCGACGCGGGCGTGACCCTGCCCAGAGCTTTGGCGGGAGTTCCGAAAGCCGCCGCAGACCGCGCGAGACCGGGAGGACTGAGGCTTGAGGCGAGCTGAGGCGTCCCCGAGGCCCGTACTGGGGAGCTGAAACTCGCTTGGGTTGTGCGCAGAAGGCGGGACAAGGGAGTGGAGAAAGTGGGGCGCAAGCCGGGGGGGCTGGGGTCGGACGCTTGCGGGCCGGCGGCCTGAAGTCGGAGTGAGCGGCGGCAAGGGCCCGAGGTGAGTTCGGACGGCGCGGGCGGCCCTTCCCGCATCCGCTGCTGGTCCTCGCGTCGGCTGGGTCGAGGCCGGGCAGTGCTCCCGCCGCCGGCTTTTGGGGCCCCTGTGCGCCAAGTGGGAAGCCCGGATATGGCGGGCGGAGCAAGGCATGTCCGGGCGCTTCCGAGCTTGCTGCGGAGAAAACAGCAGCCGACTCCAGGCTCTCGGGCTGGAGGGAGAAACCGTATGGCCGGCCCCGAGATTCCGACGCAGGTTTGACGGGCTCGGGCTCGGAAGCCGAGGTCCAAAGAGGTGCAGTCACGGCTGCTTAACGTCAGAACCAGGGTTTCCGGATTCCCGGCCGGTCGTCTTTCCGTTATTCCTTATTTTGCTTGTGAAGTACCAACCTCCAGTTGCCAAAACTGTATTTTCACCCCCTAACTTGGAAACCGTTCACGTGATGCCTCGGGAAGGATCTCAAGTGAGGGTGGGTTTGTAAACGTTTAAAATGAAATGTGGGTTTGTAAACGTTTAAAATGAAATGTAATAGACACGTAGAAAAATGCGCAATCATAAGTGTAAACAGCTGTGTGAATTATTGCGAAATGAGTATACCTGTGTGAATCACGACTCATCGAGAAGTAGGATGCACCCCCAGAAGCCTGCCTTGTGCCCCCTTCTCTAGTATTTTCTCCTCTTTTCCTCAGCGGGAACCGCTGTGTTGATTTCTGACACCATTAACTGGTTTTGCCCGCTTTTGAGTTTTACAGAAACACCAGCAGTATTGAATATGTAGTTGTTTCGCAGGCTTGCCACCACTTCCGCCTTTTAAATCTTTAGCTGCTGTGTGGGTATACGATAATATTTCGCTGTGGTTTTAACTTTCCTGAGTCCTAATGAGATTGGGGAATTGTTCATATATTTCTTGGCCATTTGGATATCTTCCATTGTGAAGTGCCTGTTCAAATCTCTTGCCTATTTTTAATGGGGTTGTCTTTTTCTTACTGATTTGAAGGTGTTCTTCATATTTAGGTTCTGGTTATCAGCCCTCAGCTATATATATGCTAAATATTTTTCTCCCCTTCTGTGCTTTGACATTTGATTCTATTAACGATGTCTTTTGGTGGATAGAAGTTCTGAATTTTTTAAATGTAGTTCAGTTTTTCAGTCTTTTCCCTTTCGGCTGTTGCATTATGTCTCCAGTTCAAGAAATCTTTATCTATTGTGAAAATATTCTGTATTCTGAAAACTTTGTTTTACCTCTTACATTTAGATCTATAAATCAGAAATTTATTTTTGTCAGTGGTGTGAGAGAGGGAGCAAGTTCACTTTATTTTATGAGGCTATCCAAACTATCCTGCACTTTTTTTTTTTTTTTTGAGTCAGCATCTCACTTTGTCACCCATGCTGTAGTGAAGTGACTTGCTCATGGGTACCACAGTCTCCACCTGCTGGGCTCAGGCAATCTGTCCACCCCAGCCTTCTAAGTAGCTGGAACTTCAGGCACGTGCCACCATACCCAGCAGATCATGCAGTATATGTTCTTTAGCAAACACCTAATATTTATAATGTATCATGGGATATATAAAAATAAACAAGACTTGGCCCCCCACCTTCAAGAAATATAAAGCAGGAGAACAGGGAGTCATGATTGATCTAGTTAGGGTGTGCACCAACTAGATGGAGAGGAAAGCTGGTGATAGATTTGCTCTTTTTTCCTGCCATTGATAAGTCATAAGACCAAAAGCCTATTAAGTAATTCTTCCAAGATTTATTGCAAAACTAGGTTTGCAGCTCTGTATTTACCCTCTCATTTCTTTAATTCATATCAATGGTCGTCTGTATTTTTCAGTAATGGCTATGCAGATGCAGCTTGAAGCAAATGCAGATACTTCAGTGGAAGAAGAGAGCTTTGGCCCACAACCTATTTCACGGTTAGAGGTATGTGCTTAGTTGCTAATTTGGGGGTTACAGTGCTATACTAGATTCTTCTACCCAGTGGCCTAATGGGAGATATCACAACATTTACATTAATCATAGGTTTACTACTAAGGTCAAGACCCAAAACCCTAAAATCAGAATTTTCAGAAGGGTTGTCAAGGATCCTGTGGAAAGGCTTAAGACTGTTGTTAAATGTATCTGGCAAGCCCTCTTTTGTCAACAGTTCTCCAACTACTTTATCGTTTTTCATTTTTACAGCTGAATTGTCAGAAACTAAGACCTAGGATCCAATGGTGGGGTCTCTGCTGTTTGCACTAAGTATGAAAGTGCAGTCCAGGGAATTACAGTGGCCTGGACCAGTTATGCAAGGAGGGAAGAGGGCACCTTTCCTCCTTTGATTCAGATCTGTGCTGATAGCTGTCATAGGCAGGGAGAAGGGTGTAGGGTTTTTAGGGTATAAAAGCCAAGCTCCAATTCAACACTCTACAAAAGAACATCAAGAACTAGGGCCTTGCACAACTTCTGCCCTGTGAGTGTAGCTGATTTGGGCTGAAAGAAGGAAGAGGGAAAGTGGAGAACGCCTTGATTTTTCTTTCTTTCTTTCTTTTTTTTTTTTTTTGCATATTCCTCTTCTCCAAGTAAGCTTCAAGACTCTAGAAGTTACTTAAATGGATTTGTGATAAACATTTGAGAGTTTGAAGTCATACCTTGTGGTGCCATAAGCATCCTTATGCTCACACACAGATATTGCTTATTACTTAACTATTAATAGTACATGGTAAATGCTAATTTCTCCCCTCTCTTTTTTTTTTTTTGAGTTGGAGTCTCACTCAGTCACCCAGACTGGAGTGCAGTGGCCGCTCCCGGCCACTGCAACCTCAAT